AGAACCCTCGTTTTTGGTTGTCGTCATCGTCGTCGCCTTCGTCAACAGCTCGATCCTCACTCCGTGAGCAAGCAATTATCGCAAACGTGACACGGAGGAGGCCAAAACCCGGATTCGAACCAAAGCCCTCGGCAGTGCTCTGACCTCTTAGCCAGCCGGCCCGACTCCCTCTGCCAGCGCCGCTGCGCGATGTCTCACGTGCATGCGGACGCCCCCCACACCCCCTACCATGGGCCTAATCCTGGCCTCTGGGTCTCCTAAGGCCATGTTTCGTGGCATTGATTCTAAAAAGAAGGGAGGTGGGAATGGCTCCCGTGTGTTTCCTGGACTTCACATTGACTCTACAAGAAAACAACATCATAATCGTAACAATAATAATAATAATAAACAACAATGACTGCACGGAAAATGAACCAACGTTTCTTGGCAAAACGGCGAGACATTACACCGGGCCGCAAGCACGTCGGTGCATAATCAATGCGGAGACACAACGATACTCGTCTTTATTTGTATTTTTTTTTAAATAGCTCCCGCAGAGACTGACAGATTATTTACCCCCAAAACCTCGGCACACTGTGACAAACGCCACGATGCGAGATGACGGCCTATTCTGCGTTATAACCCCTTTCGCGACGCACACGACGACCGCGATGACAGCGACGGCCGCGACGGCGAGGGCCGCGCCGTTTAACCGCCGGCGCAACGGCACAAATCCGCGGGTTAGAGGGAGGGGTCACCGGGCCGACGGCTGCGACCTACGACCCTCAATGCGCCGTAGCCCAGCGCTGGATTAAAAGCGTCGAAAAGCGTAGCGCACGCCGGATTTGGCGTAGATTCCCTGGCGTCGTCGCCAAAAAGGGGGTTAATAACAGCGCGGTGACGGAAAGGAAAATGGGGAGAAAATTGTCCGTCTGATCTCTCTGTGCCAGAGACACGATGCAACGTCGCGTTGGCAGCGGCCGGCCGGCAAGGTCTCGGTCTGCAATCAAAAATGTGCAATTGCTGCGCGGAGAATTGAAAACAAAATTGTGTGGCGGGGGTTTTTTTTTTCTCTCTCTCTCTCTCTCATGGTTGGTTTCTGTTTTTTTTTGTAAGCATTATTTAACGATCAAGTCAGGAGGAGAAAAAAAAAATCAGCAGTCAAATTATTATTGCGACAGTTTAAAGTAAGTGTCAACCTTTCATTCTCCTTTCCAATTTGCTCGCACAAAAGCGCCGCGGCAATTAGGGTAGCTGGGGGCTTCATTACGAACAAGCCCGCGGACCCAGGAAACCAAAAAAAACGAAGGCAACAGCACAGGCAAAGTTCAAATGCCGCCATGCGTGCCGGTTCCTCATCAATCACGCACAGCCCCCCTTTATCAGGCCCACTGCTGGATGATGGCCTAGCCACGCCGCGTCGGTCATGGGGGCGGCGTGACTGCACGTCGCCCACGCTCGCCGGTGAGGGTTGGTGAAGGGGCAAGGGAGGCGGGGCCCAGGACCGGTTCGGATACCACCCCCTTCACACTCTTAGGTTTATTCAGTAAAGGCACGTAGGTAAAAAATAATAGAAATAAAATAATCGCCCCCTTCCTTTACAACAATGTTAGGCTGCGGGGCTGCAGCCGGCTCGTGAAAAATGCCCATCGCCTGAAGAAGAAATGCACGCTGGGTAAAATTAATCGAAAGCCAGGGAGGACGGGGGCGGGAGCAGAGAGACAGAAGGGCAGCCAAGGCTGCTGGTGGTTGGAGACAGAGGGAGGGCGAGGGGGGGGGGGCGCCGTCTACAACAAAGTAAAGTTGCGCGACCCGAGGCGATGCGACAGCGAAACGCTTTCAAGAGCGGTGGGCGGGTCGGGCGGCTCGCGGAGGTTAGCGCTAATGTCCGTATCAAAGTGCCGAGCCAGCAGCGCCCAAGACCTTGGGTTTGGATCCAGGTCGGCCACCGGAGATGAAAACCAGTTTGTCGTGTGTGTGGCGAACGAGCCGATGGGTCTCGGCCCGGTCACCAATGATTTTTTTTGCGCGAAAACAAGAACAAACGCAGAAAATGTGGATTTGCACTTAAGAGACAGCACACCCCCCCCCCCACCCCCGTCCGGAATCCATGGGCTAAATCTGTGCACGTTCCACAGACGAACCGCTCTGTTGTTAACGCGGGCCGCTTCCAAGGTAGTCCGGAGGTTACCAAAGACGGATCCTCGAAGGCCACAGCAGAGGTGAAGACCCGCGACGTCACACGGAGGGTTTTTCTTCCACAAACGATAAATGCGGAAATAAAAAGGCAATCCAAGAGAATTCTTAACATTTCTTATGAGGAGCAAGGATGTTATCTGTTGACTTTACATAGAAGAGAAAGCAAGGTTGCTTAGTCAGGTCAAGTCAAGGAAACGGGCAACATTTTCAGACATGTGATCAAGATTGACTGGTGACCGGCTGCAATGGATGACGATGGAGGGAACACTCGGAGGTGCTGCGGGAAGAGGAAGACTGCGATCTGGACGTCAAACAGCGGGTGGGATGGAGGCATCTCGGCTGAGAGACGGAGCGACTCACAGAGATGAGTGGAGAGAGAACACTGCAGGGAGTTATCAGTGAAGGAAACATTCGTGGACCAACAGACCAGTACGCCATGGGATGACAAGAAGCAGATACACGCCTCTGTATCGTCATATAGAGAAGAAGAAAAAACGACCGCAAAAGTCTCCACTCCTCGGCTGGATTTTCACAGAACAATTGCGAGCACAATTAGCGACAAAAAATACAAAAGCGAAAACGGCGGCTGCCGAGTGGGCAGGTGGGACGGCAGGTGAGGGCATTTGTGTTCGCGAATAACGGCGCCGGGGGACAGCAACAACAACAAAAAAACCCCGAGCGGAGCGGCGGGTGCGTTGACGGTGCTACCGACGTCCGTCTCCCACGTCGCACCTGCACGGCCCCCCCCCCCCTCCACGCTGGCTCCCACCTCCCGACTCACGGCTCTCCTTTGCGACGCTGGCGTTGCCGCAGGCGAGGAGGCCTTTGTGTCTCCCGCCCGCCCGCTTGCTTTGTGTGATTGCGTGGCACCACCGGCCCCAAATGAGACACTAAAAAAAACCGACCCGCCACCACTTCCAAATTCCAAACACTTGCACAATAAATCAGCAAGGAGGGCTTCTCAAAAACTGACAGACGCCAATTGACCTTTTTAGCGTCCGATCTCAAGACCTGCCTGCTGCTATCCTTTTCATCGCCTCTCTCCGCACGCGCGTCTGGCTTTTGCTTGGAGACCGACGGTGGTTATTGTGATTGCGGTTGCGGTGGACGGTGGTTGTGGTGGTGGTTGCAGCGGCGGTGGTTGTGGCGGTGGTGACTGCGGTGGTGGTGGTTGTGGTGGTGGTTGTGGCGGTGGTTGCGGTGGTGGTGGTTGTGGTGGTGGTTGTGGCGGTGGTGGTGGTTGCGGTGGTTGCGGTGGATGCCGGTGGTTGCGGTGGATGGCGGCGGTGGTGGTTGTGGTGGTGGTTGCGGCGGCAGTTGCGGTGGTGGTTGTGGCGGTGGTGCTGGTTGCGGTGGATGGCGGTGGTTGCGGTGGTGGTTGCGGTGGTGGTTGGCAGGGGGGTGGGGAGAGAAAAAAACAAAAAGGAACCCCCCTCCCCCAGAAAGCACTCGTGCCCACCGCACACCGAACAATGGGAACCCTGAAAGGTGGCACTTGAAAGCTGTTTGTGTTGAATGTGCGCTCATCGCCGGCTGGGACACCATGACGAGTCTTTAGCGTGCTCGACAGACGGGGGCCTTCTCGAGCTGCAGCTGAAGCGCTGCCACTTGGCGGATTGAAACCCGAGCGAGCGAGCGAGAGCGTGCGTGTGTGTGTGGCGTGTGTGGAAGCTGCCGGGATTCGGATGATCGTTCTGCAGGCCCCACGGCACCGAGGACCCATGCGAATAACGGCGCCGGGGGACCGCAACAACAAAAAACGGGAAGATGAGTAGGTAAACAAAAATGTAAGCAAGTGCACAGGCAGGTGAATGGGCAAATGTTTGAAGCACCTTTGAAATAAGGCGCTGTATAAATATAGATAAGGGCAGATAAATAAACTAACAGGCGAGTGGATAACCAAGTAGGTAAGCGAACATGCGAGCGAGTAGGTGGAAGGGTAGGTGAGCGAGACAATGAGCAGGCAAGTAGGTGAGCCGGTCAGCAGGTAGATACATTAAGAGGCAGGTGAGTACAGCGTGTAGGTCAAAGGTTAGATAAGTTCACCAACTGCTGAGCAAGTAGCTAAACCAGTCAACAGGTAAGTGTAAAGGTCAATGGGCAGAAGTACATTCATAGCCAGTAGGAGAGTTGGTGAGAAGGTTGGTCAGATGAAGGGGTAGGGTGAGTAAATAAATGGGCTGGTGAGTAGACGAGCCGGGGAGATGAGCAAATTAATGGACAGGTAAGCAGTAAGACAGCTCGGTAAGCGAACTGGTAAATGTGTTAGTGAACCCTGCCCGCCGTATCTTTCTTCATTATTGACAACTTGCAGCTCAGCACGCGGCAGATGCCTGCGCAGCGCGACTCACGATCTCCTCTTGATACCAAGATCCAGGATGGTCATGTCTACGCGCCGCTTCTCGGTGGCAGCCCCAACAGTCTGGAACGATATCCCTCTGCACATTCGCAGCATCACCTCAATCGCCTCCTTCAAGAGACACTTAAAAACTCACCTCTACAATCATGCTTTTGAGCGACTCTGAGCTTGGCTCCGCGCCTCTGAGTTGCGGCCACTACGTCTGCAAATTTGCGCGCGTTACAAATTGTACTATTATTATTATTATGCAGGCAAGCGGCTGAATAGGTAGGTGAGGGGGTTGAGCAAGCGAACGGACACACGAGCAACTTAACAGACGGGTGCATAGCATGAACCAACGATTGAGTGGGTAAAGGAACGGTTGAGCCATAAGGCTATAGGCAGGGTTCCGGTGAGCAGATACGCGGGTGACGGGACGAGTGGGAGAGCCGGCGGGGCAGCAGGGTGGCACGCGGAAACGCACCTTGCACTCCACGACGCTCTGGTCGGTCTCGCAGGTCACGTAGATCTCGTCCACCGCCCGCCGAAGATTGTCGAACAGGTAGGCCCAGTAGCGGGCGCGCAGGTCCGCCTTGCTGGGAGGCCTCGGCTTGCACGGGATCTTCTCGGAGATGCCGCCGCCACCGCCGCCGACGCCGCCGACGCCGCCGCCACCGCCGCCGCCGCCGCCCAGCAGCTGCCCAGCTTTGCGCTCCCCACCATCGGGCTGCTTGGTGGAGCGAACGCACAGAGAAGAGGGAACACGGTCGGCATGGCAGCGACACCCACAATACCGTTCCTGGTTTTTAATTTCTATTTTATATTTGCGATTGCCGAGCACAGGGCCACAGGCCCAAAACGGCAGGCACCTCTGACTTGTGTCAGCGACTCGCTGCACGTATTGTGTACGTGTTTTTAACCGGACCATTGAGGGTGTAATATTTAAACTTTTGCACGTCATAAGAACTTGGGAAAAGAGATGATGGAAGAAAATTCCAAAGAGGAGCAAGTGTGAGGGAAGAAGCAGAAATATGAGTATAGTGCCCTGCAATGGGAAGAGTGTGGGTGGGTGAGTGAGTGGGTGGGTGAGTGGATGGGTGAGCGAGTGGGTGGGTGAGTGAGCGAGTGGGTTGGTGTGTGGATGGGTGAGCAAGTGGGTGGGTGAGTGAGCTAGTGGGTGAGCGAGTGGGTGAGCGAGTGGGTGAGTGAGCGAGTGGGTTGGTGTGTGGATGGGTGAGCGAGTGAGTGGGTGAGCGAGTGGGTGGGTGAGCGAGTGGGTTGGTGAGTGAGTGGGTGGGTGAGCAAGTGGGTGGGTGAGCGAGTGGGTTGGTGTGTGGATGGGTGAGCGAGTGGGTGGGTGAGCGAGTGGGTTGGTGTGTGGATGGGTGAGCGAATGGGTGGGTGAGTGAGCGAGTGTGTTGTTGTTGATGTCGTCGTGACCTGCAGTGTGGTGGTGGTTGAACACAGCGTGGATGAGACGACGGTCAGTCTGGTGGTTGATTGAGTCCTCAACACGCGTGGAGGAATCGGCGAATGAAGTTCACGGTGTGCTGTGCTACAGCCAGAAGGCCGGTTGTGATTCTTGAATAAATATTCATCATCACACTCATGATGCGTGCACAGATTCGTGCATGTGAGAATCCGTTATTTATGAAAAATACACGCAAATCATGAACTAACCTAACCTTTCCGACGCACGCTACATTCATACTGTCTGGTGTGACAACGACATGCGCATCCATATTTACCGAGCTTAATGTTGGGATTTTATAGGGTTGGCTGAACCAACACCAAATTTAATATGATGGGTTTACTTTGGCCACAGGACTGAGATGATCAACTCACTACAGCTGAGAACCCGTTTGCAATCGCGGGCTACTGCCCGAACCCACGCTCCCCGGCTCCCTCTGACAGCGGCAGTAGCGAGCCTCCGTCAGCTGGGCAGTCAGCCAAGCCAGTCAGGCCGCATAGGGGGGGGTGGGGAGGGAGCAGCACAGACAGGTGGGAGTTGTCGAGAGGGAAATGTTGAGAAGCACCTGTGTCAGAGGTCGCAACCGGGTACCCGATACCCGGCTACCCGTACCGGCCGGGTACGGGTAGCCATTTGCGACCCTGGTGCGGTCGGGTACGGGTACGGGTAGGCCGTGAGTCACTGGTGAGTCACCGTTTATCACTCATTTCGGGTAGGGTGCGGGTATGGGTAGGGAACGGGAACCCGTATCTGGCCGGGTACGGGTACCCATTTGCGACCCTGTGGCGGCCGGGTACGGGTACGGGTAGGCCGTGAGTCACTGGTGAGTCACCGTTTGTCACTCATTTCGGGTAGGGTACGGGTACGGGTAGGGAACGGGAACCCGTGCCTGGCCAGGTACGGGTACGGGTACCCATTTGCGACCCTGGTGCGGCCAGGTATGGGTACGGGTAAGGAATCACAACCCGTTTGCGACCTCTGACCTGTGTGGAGGTGACCGAGTGGCTCGGAGGTCAGAGTCTTGAGCCAGCACAGCTGACGACGGCCTGGGTTCTAATCCAGGGTTCGGCCGCAATGTGATGAAACTGGATTCCCAAGTGTAAGGGATATGATGTTCTCAGTAGTACGCAACCAAATCGAACGATTTGGTTGCGTACTTCATCTGGCTAAATTCCAGCGTACGTTTGTTTGACCGTAACGCAACGAACATGAAAGTGCTGCCCACCTACTGTGCTGTCCAGAGGTCACCGGAATGGATCTTGGCAGTAGCTCTGTGCTATCCGCTTCCACGGGCCGTTCTCTCATACGAAGCATTGCACCGGTCTGCAAGAGTTCCCATGAGGGGCCTCAGTGAGTCTCAGGACTCTTTTCAAGGAGGGTTCTGTTAAGTTTGTGCAGTGGGGGGGGGCTCGCGGTGATGATTTCTAATCATATTCCAATTGAGTAATTTGCGGGTAATTTTTCAAATTTGGACCACGACGCCAGCGCACGGAGGCCTACCCTCGTGTCACGTCCGCTGTGTAGCAGACGACGCCTGTTTCTACGCCAAAAAAAAACACCCGCACTAATAACCAGGGAGGCCGCTGGATTCGAACCGTGAAGCTCAGCAGCAAGCGGCGGACACGCGACGGCTAGGCCACGCCACCGACATGACAGTGGGAGCACGCTCGGGACGATATTGGGATGAAATTACAAAAATGTGCGTTAAAATCACCGAGACGTCCGTACATCCCGGGGTGCATCGGGGGAGTGTGCCAGACAGGGCAGCAGCAGCAGCAGACGGGGAGGAGAGCGAGCGATGTAAACACCGTGAGGAGGGCGGGGGAGAAGCGCTGTCCGGGGAGTGTGCGAGGGAGGAACGTGCCGAGATTGATGGCCGTGCCTGGTGGTGGTGGTGAATGGTCCAGTGGGGGCAGTGATGGATGACGGAGGTGATGATGATCATGGTTTTGACATGATGATGATGATGATGATAATTTAAATGAATGTGACCGTTTGTGATGCCGATGACCAAGTGCCTTCTCATGCAATTGGATTATCATCATCATCATTGTCACGGATGGCAATGATGCGTGAAGTGCGTTATCGGACTGGCTGGAGAGACTTGAAGGTGACATCAACTCAAGTGCAATGCGAGTCGTTGTGGTTGGAGGAATTCTCAAGGCATTCGGGAGGCTAAAAGTGACGAGACCGTTGACGATGTCGATTATACAGCTGATATGAGTGAGTGTTGCCTTCACGACACGCGGCCCAGATCTAAGCACTGCTGAATGACGGCCTTCTCAAGCCCCGAAGCCGTCGCGATGTCCGCGACGACAACGGCGACAAAAGCCACCGTTTGCGAAGGATTTATATATTTGTCGATTGACAAGAGACGCGGACAACAACGGCAGTGAAGCTGACTAAATGTGTGCAGATGGCCGTCAATGTACATTTACAATGACGAATTGGCCAGCGTTTCATGCGGCGCTGGCGACGTCCGAGTTAATTTTCAAAAAAACGCAGGCAGAGCACCGCGATTAATTCCCCAAATCAGGGCCACAATGACCGTTTCAGTGCACGACAAAGAATTCTAAACTTAAGCACGCACCATAACTGAAAGCGAGTATCCTTTCAAACGACGCAAAAGTGGAAAAAGAGACCGCATGTGGCTTTCACGAAATAATATTTTAATCGCCGAACATTTTATCAATTTTCTTTTTTCACGTGTCAACAAGAGAGAGACATGCAGAGTTTATTTTCTGATGGCTCACAACAGAAACTGCATCAAAGCAATCAGCCCTTCATGCTCCTTTTGTGTCAGCGGGCTTATGGGAAAGCTATAAAAAGAAGTGGTGCAGCCCTGCATCTGCCTGCTCACACCAATGCTGGCAGAAAGGGCCTCCACTAGAAGCAGCTCCACTCCTCCACTCTGACCAGGTGTCTTAGAAGAGGGACACGAGTTCCCTAACTTTACCCCACACCCCACCACACACACGACCTGCCAATCCACTGTCTGTGGTGCACCCATTTATTCCACTGGGTGGACAGAGGCAAGCGGCGGTGGGGTGGGGGATGGATTTGAGAAACCCGCGTCATTGTTCAAACCATCGCGCCTGGAGATCGAAGAGGCCACCCCCTGATTGCAAGTTCCACTGTCCTCGCCATTATCCCGCGGCAGCGGCAGCAGCAGCAGCACCAGCGTCCCTACGCCATTGTACGACAGTGCGCACACACAAGCCGACGCGGTTGTGTTGGCTCTCCGTGCTACGCACTCCGCTGTCGACACAGCGACTGGATTTTCCACAGAAAATGTGTAAATAAGCTGAAAAAGTGGCGAGGCGGCCGAGAGTGGCGAGCTAAAGTGGGGCAACTGACACGGCAAGACGAGGCCACACAGCTGTTTGCTTGTTTATTTATTTATTTATTACAAAGCAAACTTGCTGGGCAACAGGCTCAAAGGCCCAAAACACGTCAGGCAGCCCGCAACAATCAGCACCATTGAAGGTGTAAGAGACAAGGGCTTGCACGTGTCTTGACTTAAGCAAATGTCCCAAGAACATGGCAAGCAAAGAGTATGTGGGAGCAAGGCCGTAGCAAAGGAGTCAACATTGGGGGGGACCAAATCTCCCAGGGTGTCTTGGGGGTCCCAACCCCGAAAATTATCTGAATTTGATAACTCATGTCCTGCCTAAAATATTAAAAAATTCACTAACACATGGGATATGTTTTACAATAATGTCTAATAGTGTATTGAATTGCATTTGTTCTGTTTTTTACTTTTTTTACCATTTCTTGTTTCATTGTATGTAATGGCATAGATTAGGGATTAATAAAGTGCAACCATAACCACAATCATATGAACAGAAATCTACGCCTTGATGTATATGAAGACAAGTCCAGATATTGTGGCCAAGGTTTAGCAAATTGTTGTTTTTATTTACATAGCATAGCAATTTTTTTATAGCAATATATTGGGGGGGACATTTTGAGCATATTTGAATATATTATAATTACGGCGTTGTATGGGAGGGATTTCTAAAAGTGCAGCAGTGCAAGGGATTTCATCAGTGAGCGTGGTGGTTGATCACAGTGTGAATGGCGAGTGGAAACAGTCCAAGTGTTCTCCTGCTCAAGTGAGCTTTGAGGCAGTGCTCACCTCACATTTACAGCCCTGACTCAGAAGTGAAATGTCCTCCTTACTACGGTGAGGGCAAGTCTATCCATAGGACGAGCAATGTTGATTTGTGCCCAACAAAGTGTTAATAATGCTACGGATC